CTTATTGTTCCAGCCAGGGTATGATGACTTATTGTTCCAGCCAGGGTATGGTGACTTTTATTGTTCCAGCCAGGGTATGGTGACTTATTGTTCCAGCCAGGGTATGGTGACTTTTATTGTTTCAGTCAGAATACGGTGACTTATTGTTCCAGCCAGGGTATGGTGACTTTTATTGTCCAGCCAGGGTATGGTGACTTATTGTTCCAGCCAGGGTATGGTGACTTATTGTTCCAGCCAGGGTATGATGACTTATTGTTCCAGCCAGGGTATGGTGACTTTTATTGTTCCATCCAGGGTATGGTGACTTATTGCTCCAGCCAGGGTATGGTGACTTTTTATTGTTCCAGCCAGGGTATGGTGACTTTTATTGTCCAGCCAGGGTATGGTGACTTATTGTTCCAGCCAGGGTATGGTGACTTATTGTTCCAGCCAGGGTATGGTGACTTTTTATTGTTCCAGCCAGGGTATGGTGACTTTTATTGTCCAGCCAGGGTATGGTGACTTATTGTTCCAGCCAGGGTATGGTGACTTATTGCTCCAGCCAGGGTATGGTGACTTTTTATTGTTCCAGCCAGGGTATGGTGACTTATTGTTCCAGCAAGGGTATGGTGACTTATTGTTCCAGCAAGGGTATGGTGACTTATTGTTCCAGCAAGGGTATGGTGACTTATTGTTCCAGCAAGGGTATGGTGACTTATTGTTCCAGCAAGGGTATGGTGACTTATTGTTCCAGCCAGGTTATGGTGACTTATTGTTCCAGCCTGGGTATGGTGACTTTTATTGTTCCTGTGTACTGTGAGTTTATATTCTCTAAAACAAGGAATAAGGGAATCCATCAGCACATATACACTGAGAGACATTCACCGTTCAGTATATACATCTTTGTCTGTGTCGATTTATCTTATTGTGAAGGCATTTGTTGCTTGTGTTAACAATTCTATTACACATAACACGAAACTGCCGTATAGCCGCATTAGGAGAAAGACAGCTGATCAGGCTGAGGAAAGAAGTATGTGAGGAGCTCAACATGAGATTTAAGGAAGTATTTACAGTAGAGACAGAAAGGACTCTGGGAAACAGGACAGAGGGGAACACCAACAGGGAATATACCAACAAGTGTTGGATGACATACACACAACTGAGGAGGAGGTGAAGAAGCTGCTAAGTGACCTTGATACCTTAAAGGCAATGGGACCGGACAACATCTCCCCGTGAGTCCTTAGAGAGGAAGAAGAAATGCTGTATATGCCATTAACCATAGTCTTTAACACATCCCTTGAAACTGGGCAAATACCTGACGTATGGAAGACGGCAAATGTAATTCCCATTTTTAAATAAGGAGACAGAAAAGAGGCACTTAACTACAGACCAGTGTCTCTGACGTGTATAGTATGCAAAGTCATGGAGAAGATTATCAGGAGGAGAGTGGTGGAGCACCTGGAACGGAACAAGAGTATAAACGACAACCAGTACGGATTCATGGAAGGCAAATCCTGTGTCACAAACCTTCTGGAGTTTTACGATAAAGTAACAGAAGTAAAACACGAGAGAGAGGGGCGGGTTGATTGCATTTTCTCCTCACAAGAGATTAGTGCAGAAGCTAGAGGATCAGGCGTGTATAACAGGGAGGGCACTGCAATGGATCAGAGATTACCTGACAGGGAGGCAACAACGAGTCATGGTACTTGATGAGCTATCAGTGGGCGCCTGTGACGAGCGGGGTCCCACAGGGGAGGGTCCTAGGACAAGTGCTATTTTTGGTATATGTGAGTGACATAATGAAAGGGATAGACTCAGAGGTGTCCCTGTTCGCAGATGATGTGAAGTTAATAAGGAGAATTAAATCAGATGAGGATCAGGCAGGACTTCAAAGAGACCTGAACAGGCTGGACACCTGGTCCAGCAACTGGCTTCTCGAATTCAACCCTGCCAAATGCAAAGTCATGAAGATCGAAGAAGGGCAGAGAAGGCCGCAGACAGAGTATAGGCTAGGTGGCCAACGACTGCAAACCTCGCTCAAGGAGAAAGATCTTGGGGTGAGTATAACACCAAGCATGTCTCCGGAAACACACATCAACCAGACAACTGCTGCAGCTTATGGGCGCCTGACAAACCTGAGATCAGCGTTCCGATACTTAAATAAGGAATCTTTCAAGATATTGTACACCGTGTACGTCAGACCCATACTGGAGTATGCAGCACCAGTTTGGAACCCGCACCGGGTCAAGCACGTTAAGAAATTAAAGAAAGTGAAAAGGTTTGCGACAAGGTTAGTTTCAGAGCTAAGGGGAATGTCCTACGAAGAAAGGTTAAGGGAAATCGGCCTGACGACACTGAAGGAGAGGAGGGTTAGGGAAGACATGATAACGACATACAAAATACTGTGTGGAATAGACAAGGTGGACAGAGACAGGATGTTCCAGAGAGGGGACACTGAAACAAGGGGTCCCTCTTGGAAGCTGAAGACTCAGATGAGTCACAGGAATGTTAAGAAATATTTCTTCAGTCACAGAGTGGTCAGGAAGTGGAACAGTCTGGCGAGTTATGTAGTGGAAGCAGGAACCATACGTAGCTTTAAGACGAGGTATGATAAAGCTCATGGAGCAGGGAGAGAGATTACCTAGTAGCGTTCAGTGAAGAGCAGGGGCCAGGAGCTGAGTCTCAACCCCTGCAAGTACAATTAGGTGAGTACACACACACACACACACACACACACACACACACACACACACACACACACACACACACACACACAGGATCCATACATAGCTTCTGTCCCTTCTCATGGAGCAGAGAGTGGACCTTGTAGCGACCAGTGAAGAGGCGGGGCCAGGAGCTATGAATCGACCCCCTGCAACCACAATTAGGTGAGTACAGAGCGCGAACAAAAGGGCAATCTAGGGAGACATTCTTCTGGATATACTCAGCGGCATTCTTAAGGTTAATGCATCGCTGCAGGCTTTGCCGGTCCATTAACCTCGGCGTAATCGACCTGTCAAAAGATATTGGGTCGCACTGCTAGGAATCCGTTTGCGAGAGCTCAGCTCCGTCGGCACTAACATACCACAAGTCTTAACAGCCTGGCAAGTCTCTTCGCTATCCCCACACAACTTACTACTTAAATCTTTGGGAAACACTATTTGAGGGCTCTAGAGAGCACCCCTGCAGCAGGAGGCTAGAGGTCTTTCACTTCCACTGAAGAGAGATTGCAGGCTCCATCCAACGTTTTCGTGGTATTCTGCCTGAATGTTCCAGTTTTTTTGTACCTCTACATACGACTATAACTTAAATGGTTATCATCATAACCATAATTTTTAAAGAGGTGGACTGGTAAGCCAGTGGAAGGTCTCGGTCAGATGACCAAAAGTTCCAGCGGTGGGTCATCATATGACTAAGACTTGCGTCAGGAAACATTTGTCCTGTTTCCTAACAAATCTTAGCTAACCTACCAGAGACTGGTTCTATAAAGTTGGCCACCCTCATCCTGTGCTTGATTAAGGTTACTGACAGGTAGGCTTTATAGAAGAACTCCAAACCTGTCGCACCGCTCAAAGACTTGCTGAAACTGAACAACTCTTATTCCTGTGTTGTAATGGCTTCCATACCCACTAATGTAAGTCCTTGCTGAAGACTTGTCTGCTAGAGGGATCTAAGTGACGCGGAAGAAACTGACAGTATTAATAAGCTGAAGGAGTTCCATCTATCATCACAGCATACGAACCTGTGAATGGAGGAACACACCAGTACTTACCTCTGTCCTTTCTAAATCTAAATTTATGTAACTTAAATCCGTTATTTCTGTTTTTTACCAGATTCGATATCCTCAGCATTTTATTAATTTCACCTTTGTTTATGCCCAATATCCACTTATACACTTAGATGATATCTCCTCGCATCCTGCGTCTCTCCAGAGGGTGAAAATTCAAGGCTCGAAGTCTATCTTCATACGGGAGATTTCTTATACAGTGAATCAACTGTCATCCTCCTCTGCATATTCTCCAATGAATTTATATCCATTACCCCGCACAGGAGTGTTATTGAATTCTACCGTCAAGCAGACGCATGCAGAATTCAATCCAATAATACCTACCTGACTTTTTTTTCAGTCTTAATGCTACTGACGGACTTAAGTTGCTTTTGTTTATCACCTGCTCTAACCTTAATTAATTCACTGTAGGGGATTACCCTGACCATCATCGTCAGTGTGGATGCCTCACGACGATCAGCAGAGGTAAATACATTGCTGAATTATTTTTAAGTACAAGCTTCACTCTAGTTAACGACGAGAGTGGAACTGGCGAAGATGATCGTACTAGAAACACTTCAACTACAGATTTATTTTTGTCTTCCCCCGTAACATTACTTGGTGCGTCGCTTGTGTCTGTTTGGATAATGACCACCTCACCATCTGCATTTTTGATGACTGAGACACTTCTGTCTCTCCTTCAGTCCCTCAAGGATCACCCACTTCAATATCTCCAGGAACGACTTTGACACTAAAGTACACAAATGTCCCGCGAAAGTAGTCATAAGTATCATTATCCTGTGTGCGGGATAATTGTTTATTGTTCCAATCACCGTACTGTGACTTTTTATTTCTGAAAGGTACACAGTAACTAGGGGTGTAAAGTTAGCTATATCTAAGACCTCGAAACTTACCTCGATTCTGGTTTCCTGGTGGATACCAGAATGCCTCAGGTCACTCGCTCACAGGAATAGACTTCCGAGGATTTTCGATAAGTAGATAACCACACAAAACCTTTCAGAATGTATGAACGCCCGGGCTCAGGCCGGACGATGCTATCAGGCAAGCTAAAGATGACTCTTGGCTATGTTGTTTCAACTTTGAAAGGACTCAACCAATTAGCCACGTCTGGTCTACTGTATACTGCATCACTAAGGAGAACTCCTCGACAATCCATCTCACACTCAACACCTGGATGGTCACAACAAACACCTGCCACTCACCTGGATGGTCTGAATAAACACTTGCCACACACCTGGATGGTCTTGACGAAACATTTGCGGCAGACCACACGGTGACCACACGGGAAGGTCTGCATTGTAGCCTTGGCGTTGACGCAAATCACACACTGCGAAGAGAGAGACATCTGTCAGTCATCGAGCTGTACTGCAGGGCTCTTCACGCTGACAGACACACATCAGTCGTTAACTCCACCACACTACTGGCTGACAGACACAGCAATGAACAGGAGCCACTATGTTGAGAGAGAGAGAGAGAGAGAGAGAGAGAGAGAGAGAGAGAGAGAGAGAGAGAGAGAGAGAGAGAGAGAGAGAGAGAGAGAGAGAGAGAGAGAGAGAGAGAGACTGAAATCCAGTTTGGAAAAAATAATATCGGGAATAATCCACCTTGCTTGCCTTATTTTCCCTTGGCTTGTTAACCTTCCGGGTTAATAATCTTGGGTTACAATGTGTATTGGTGGAGTAATCGGGTTTCAAGTCTATCCACCACACGAGGGTCATTAAGACTACGTCACAAGTTGACCGGACAGGAATACTTTAACCCCTAAAATATATACACTGGCATACACAGTGTATAAATTCTTGTATAAAATTGCAACAACATTCGAAAAATGTTCATTTAACAAAATAATTATTATTAATTTCATAAGATATATATACTTATTGAGAGGTATGTCTCTCACAGTATATATCACGTGAAGAAATGTATGTCTCTCAGTGTTATATACCTCGTGAAGAAGGGTATGTCTCTCAGTGTTATATACCTCGTGAAGAAGGGTATGTCTCTCAGTGTTATATACCTCGTGAAGAAGGGTATGTCTCTCAGTGTTATATACCTCGTGAAGAAGGGTATGTCTCTCAGTGTTATATACCTCGTGAAGAAGGGTATGTCTCTCAGTGCATATAACTCGTGGAGAGAGGTATGTCTGGCTCGACCATCATCCCTTGTCTCCAAGCTTCCTGACTGAGTACTAGCTCGACCATCATCCCTTGTCTCCAAGCTTCCTGACTGAGTACTAGCTCGACCATCATCCCTTGTCTCCAAGCTTCTTGACTGAGTACTAGGTCGACCATCATCCCTTGTCTTTCCCAAACTTCCTGACTGAGTACTAGGTCGACCATCATCCCTTGTCTCCAAGCTTCCTGACTGAGTACTAGGTCGACCATCATCCTTGTCTCCAAGCTTCCTGACTGAGTACTAGCTCGACCATCATCCCTTGTCTCCAAGCTTCCTGACTGAGTACTAGCTCGACCATCATCCCTTGTCTCCAAGCTTCCTGACTGAGTACTAGGTCGACCATCATCCCTTGTCTCCAAGCTTCCTGACTGAGTACTAGCCGACCCCTCATCCCTTGTCTCCAAGCTTCCTGACTGAGTACTAGGTCGACCATCATCCCTTGTCTCCAAGCTTCCTGACTGAGTACTAGGTCGACCATCATCCCTTGTCTCCAAGCTTCCTGACTGAGTACTAGGTCGACCATCATCCCTTGTCTCCAAGCTTCCTGACTGAGTACTAGGTCGATCATCATCCCTTGTCTCCAAGCTTCCTGACTGAGTACTAGGTCGACCATCATCCCTTGTCTCCAAGCTTCCTGACTGAGTACTAGCTCGCCCATCATCCCTTGTCCCCAAGCTTCCTGACTGAGTACTAGCTCGCCCATCATCACTTGTCTTCAAGCTTCCTGACAGAGTACTAGCTCGCCCATCATCACTTGTCTTCAAGCTTCCTGACAGAGTACTAGCTCGACTATCATCCATTATCTCCAAGCTTCCTGACTGAGTACTAAGCTCGCCCATCATCACTTGTCTTCAAGCTTCCTGACAGAGTACTAGCTCGCCCATCATCACTTGTCTTCAAGCTTCCTGACTGAGTACTAGCTCGCCCATCATCCCTTGTCTCCAAGCTTCCTGACAGAGTACTAGCTCGACCATCATCCCTTATCTCCAAGCTTCCTGACAGAGTACTAGCTCGACCATCATCCCTTATCTCCAAGCTTCCTGACTGAGTACTAGCTCGCCCATCATCACTTGTCTTCAAGCTTCCTGACAGAGTACTAGCTCGCCCATCATCACTTGTCTTCAAGCTTCCTGACAGAGTACTAGCTCGCCCATCATCACTTGTCTTCAAGCTTCCTGACAGAGTACTAGCTCGATCATCACACATTAAAACCTTCGTCATCGCTGTGTGTGTGTGTGTGTGTGTGTGCTGGGGGGGGGGGGCAGCTTCTCGGGTCCTGGAATGACATACGACCAATTTCTTGGTGATGGCTGCAGCTGCAAGTTGTGGAGGAGTTGCTGCCATCACTGATGCTGCCATCACTGCTGCTGCCACCATTGCTGCCGCTGCCTCTACTGCTGTTGCCATCACTGCTGCTGCCATCAGTGCTGCTGCCATCACTGCTGCTGCCACCACCACTACTGCTGCTGCTGCCATCACTGCTGCTGATGCCATCACTGCTGCTGCCATCACTGCTGTTGCCACCACTGCTGCTGCTGCCATCACTGCTGCTGCCACCACTGCTGCTGCTGCTGCCATCACTGCTGCTGCCACCACTTCTGCTGCTACCATCACTGCTGCTGCTATAACTGCTGCTGCCATCACTGCTGCTGCCACCACTGCTGCTGCTGCCATCACTGTTGCTGCCACCACTGCTGCTGCTGCCATCACTGCTGCTGCCACCACTGCTGCTGCCACCACTGCTGCTGCTGCTACCACTGCTGCTGCCATCACTGCTGCTGCCACCACTGCTGCTGCTGCTGCCACCACCACTACTGCTGCTGCTGCCATCACTGCTGCTGATGCCATCACTGCTGCTGATGCCATCACTGCTGCTGCCATCACTGCTGCTGCCACCAGCTGCTGCTGCTATCACTGCTGCTGCCATCACTGCTGCTGCCACCACTGCTGCTGCTGCTGCCACCACCACTACTGCTGCTGCTGCCATCACTGCTGCTGAAGCCATCACTACTGCTGCCATCACTGCTGCTGCCATCACTGCTGCTGCCACCACTGCTGCTGCTGCCATCACTGCTGCTGCCACCACTGCTGCTGCCACCACTGCTGCTGCCACCACTGCTGCTGCTGCTATCACTGCTGCTGCCATCACTGCTGCTGCCACCACTTCTGCTGCTGCCATCACTGCTGCTGCCACCACTGCTGCTGCCACCACTGCTGCTGCTGCTATCACTGCTGCTGCCATCACTGCTGCTGCCACCACTTCTGCTGCTGCCATCACTGCTGCTGCCATCACTGCTGCTGCCATCACTGCTGCTGCCACCACTGCTGCTGCTGCCATCACTGTTGTTGCCACCACTGCTGCTGCAACCACGACTGCCACCACTACTGCTTTCATTACTGCTAACACTACCACCTCAACCACCACCACCACCATCGGCAACAACAACCACCACCACCATGGGCAACAACAACCACCACCACCATCGGCAACAACAACAACCACCACCATCGGCAACAACAACCACCACCATGGGCAACAACAACCACCACCATCGGCAACAACAACCACCACCACCATCGGCAACAACAACAACCACCACCATGGGCAACAACAACCACCACCATCGGCAACAACAACCACCACCACCACCATCGGCAACAACAACAACCACCACCATCGGCAACAACAACAACCACCACCATCGGCAACAACAACAACCACCACCATCGGCAACAACAACAACCACCACCATGGGCAACAACAACCACCACCACCATCGGCAACAACAACCACCACCACCATCGGCAACAACAACCACCACCATCGGCAACAACCACCACCACCACCATCGGCAACAACAACCACCACCACCAGCGGCAACAACAACAACCACCATCATGGGCAACAACAACCACCACCACCATCGGCAACAACAACCACCACCACCATGGGCAACAACAACCACCACCAAAATCGGCAACAACAACCACCACCACCAGCGGCAAAAACAACAACAACCACCATCATGGGCAACAACCACCACCACCACCATGGGCAACAACAACCACCACCACCATGGGCAACAACAACCACCACCACCATGGGCAACAACAACAACCACCACCATCGGCAACAACCACCACCACCCCCATCGGCAACAACAACCACCACCACCAGCGGCAACAACAACCACCACCACCATCGGCAACAACAACCACCACCACCATGGGCAACAACAACCACACCACCATCGGCAACAACAACCACCACCACCATGGGCAACAACAACAACCACCACCACCATCGGCAACAATCACCACCATCGGCAACAACCACCACCATCGGCAACAACCACCACCATCGGCAACAACAACCACCACCACCATGGGCAACAACAACCACCACCACCATGGGTAACAACAACAACCACCACCATGGGCAACAACAACAACCACCACCACCCCCATGGGCAACAACCACCACCACCATCAGCAACAACAACAACCACCACCACCATCAGCAACAACAACCACCCCCAAGGGCAACAACCACCACCAACCATGGGCAACAAAAACCACCCCACCGGCAACAAACAACAACCAACATGGGAAACAACCACCCCATGGGAAACAACAACCCACCACCCCCGGGGCCCCCCCCCAAAAACCCAAACATCGGCAAAAACAACCACCACCATGGGCAACAACAACAAACCACCGCACCCCATGGGCAACAACAACCACCACCATCGGAAAACAAACCCCCAGCACAAACAACTAGACTCACACATCCTGGAACAAAAAGTGATACACAAAAGTTTAAGACTGTTACACTTGTTTAGCATCAAGAGAACCCCGAGTTGGTCAAATATCTTACCTGCATAATTTTCTTTAATTCCATATTAAAAAAATGACTTCATATTACAAAAATATAAATTCATTTAAATTTTGCATTTTTTACATATAATGTCTTAGTTCATGTTGGTGATGCTATTGATGCTTAGTGGGATCTATTTGATGCTTAGTGGTGATTTTAGTGGGTGATTTTAGTGGGATGCTTAGTGGTGATGCTTGTGGGATGCTATGGTGCTTATGGTGATGCTATGTGATGTTATGGTGATGTTAGTGGTGATTTTAGTGGTGATTTATTTG